ATTTTAATATTATAAAAGTTACCTCTTAAAAATAAGAAAAACTAATGAAGTATTTCCAAAGGTTTGCTTGCAAATGGAATCCCTTTAATCACGTTAACGCAAAAATGTTATTTGTTTTGCATCTATTCATTGCTTCAATGCACCTTCACCTTTATGTGGTTATTCTCTTCTAAGGCTCTGCCAACGTAAGCACAGATGACACACCAGCTTTTAAAGCTTGCAAGTTATCCGGGCATTTTAGTGGCATTGCTTTTTCTTGAAAGTGGGCGACAAGCTTATGGAAGTGTCGCCTTCGATTTTTGTAGAATCTAAAGGAAACCCATTTATGGGTATTTTCTTGTCTTTTGCATGAGGTTTTTCTTCTTCTAGTTAAGTACTTCTAGGTAACAACTTTTCTCTTCTCTCACTTCATTTTATTGAAGAAGTCGATGAAGGCTTACGGATAGGATGGTGACAAATTCTTTTCTTCACATCAATTTGATGCGTAATGTTTCAGTATTGATTACGTGTTAAAAAGTGGTATCATGTGTTTCACAGCGCCTTCCTTCCCCCTGTTTGAAGCCATGAATATCATTGTGAGACCTGTAGCTGTATCTGTAGCTGCAGGGCCTTCTTACAACAGAATTCCCATTTTTGGAGAGGTTCAGTAGCACTAATTTTTCAAATTAATTCTTCGTCTAAATGTTCTTGGTAATGATAAATGATACCTTGAACCAATAGTTTGGAGAACCAGGTAAGTTGTACATTCCCTCTCATGAATCCATCCCTTGTCTCAAGACCATAATTTATAATGTTTTCGGGTTACTTTGGCAATTTCTTAATCTTTCTCTTGCTTATGCTGCTGCTACTTAAATGCATTTGGCTGCATTGCAATAGCATCGTCACAATGCTCCTTTGATTCAAACATGCAGAACAAATAGCAGTGCAAATGCAAGGTTTTTGTTCCTTTAATTAATTTGTTGCTCTGCAGCTTCTAGCAATATTTTTGGAGGAGAAACGGTACGCATTCATCAACTGGCAAAACTTCCGCATACCTAAGACTTGAAGTTGGTTGGGCACAAATTGGAGATAAAACTCCATGCTACTTTCAAGTATGCTCTATCAATCATGAGATAAATAAATAAATAAATAAATAAAAGAATTTTAAGGGGCTGATTTTGTTGCAACTAGAATACGTTCTACTCTATTTTGCTTCTCATTTTGATTTCTGTATTGTAGTATTAACCGTCTATGTGTAATCTCGTAACATTTTGCATGGGCTCATTTAATCTTTCCTGCCTTGGTTGCTTCTACCCCGAAATATTCAATTGCCAGCGGCCTGCTCTTTTCGGAGGCCAGCAGATGGGCCAGCAACAGAAGTCACCTCCCAAGTGCTGGCAAGGAATTGTGGAACAAAGCCGAGCTATGTTCACTTGTTCTACTTAGCCTCTTTCTGCATATTGTTCTCATTGGATTTGGGCATGGAAGTAAGGGAAAAGCAAATCGTTGGGTCATATCCGTTGGTTGGCTAGCATACTTCCTGGGAGACTGGGTTGCAACTGCTTCACTTTCTACCCTCCTAAAGCGCCAAACACAGAAGATCAATGCCATTGAAGTGCTCTGGGCACCTTTCCTTCTCTTGCATCTGGGCAATGCGGAAACCATGGCTGCTAACTACTTGGAAGAAAGTGCATTGTGGGTAAGATACTTGGTTGGCCTACTCATCCAATTTGGGATGGCATTTTATATCTACTGGAGGTTCCAAACTAGACATACTGGGTTCAATTTTCTAGTGCGGGGAACGAATTTGGATTCTCAGTGTCTCAAACTTCGAGAATTACAAAAAATCAGTATTAAGAGCTCCTCCCTCTGAAATTTCACACACGCTCGAGGGAAAATTCGATATTCCCAAGCATGAGCTACTGATGGATTACTTGGGAAGGAAAGGCATAAGTCCTGAAGCTGAATATCTCCATCAAGCATATCTTTCCTTCAAGATGTTCGTGCCCCTATTTTCAGGCCTCAATCTTCGGTTTTACAAAAAGTTAAATAACATCTTCACTTTGCACAAGTCCATGTCCGCTAAAGAGGCCTTCATGTTGGTAGATATTGAACTAGAATTCTTGTACGACATGCTTTACACCAAGACCAGCATCCTTAACTCTGTCACGGGTCTCATCCTCCTCTCCATCAGCTTACTGTCTTGTATTTCAGGATTTATTGCCTTCTCAGTCTTCATTAGCAAGCGTCCCAACCCACGTGTCGACGTTGCCATTACTTACTTGCTGCTGGTAGTAGCTATTATTGCAGACACCTTTGCACTCGTTACGAAGCTATTCTCCAAGTGGACACTGCGCCAGTTGACCAAACCAGGCGGCAAGAAGCTTCCTAAGTGTTTTGATCGAGTTATTAATCGTTGGTTAAAGCATAGAAAGAAGGGGAAAGGAATCACATCCATGGCACAAAGCAGCCTTCTAAAATATTGCCTAAAGTCCAAGGCAACCACGATTAGTACAGTTGCAACTAACCTTAAGCTGGGAAACACAGTTTTAGAGAAATCCCTGCATCAATTAGATCAGAAGTCGCGTCGCCCTGATTGGATAGATGTGGACCTTGAACTGAAGGATTTCATTTTCCTTCATCTCAAAGAGAAACGTACGCAATACAAACAAAAACAATTTGATTTCAAGTCACTCTCATGTTTACTGAAAGAGGGAGCTTATAAGTTGCTACAGAGCAAAAAACTCCACGAGGAGGTGGGCTGGAGCTTAAAGGACCTAGAGTTCACCCACAGCCTCCTTATTTGGCATATTGCTACGGATATTCTTTACTATGATCAACGAAGAAGGTATCCACGAGGAAGTTTCAGTATCCGCTGCCGAATAAGTAAACACTTGTCCGATTACATGGTGTACCTCCTGGTTAAGGCTCCATTTATGCTTCGAAAAGGTATTGGAGAGCTGAGATACAGAGACACTTGCAGGGAAGCTGTCAAATTTCTCGAGCAGGAAATGAAAATCAAAGGCGTTCGGTTGGCTGCCACGACGCTGCTGGCTATCGATGCAGAGTGGCGAGGGTTCCTTTTTCAGATGAAAGGGCAGGGGAAGTCGGTGTTCTTTGCAGGGAGTGCGCTTGCCAAAAGATTGAGATGGTTGTCAAGGGAAGGCGAGAAGCCGATGGATGAAGACGAGATATGGGAAATCATCAGCTGTGTTTGGTTGGAGATGCTGGTCTCTGCTGCCAACCATTGCGATTGGAAAGATCATACAGTGCAGCTTCGGCATGGCAAAGAGCTGCTCACTCACGTTGCTCTTTTGATGGCACATCTTGGTTTGAGCAAGCACATTCGGATAACGGATCTTCCACTGCAGCTTGAGGCAGAGGGGGATAGCTACAATCCCCCTTGGAATTGGGCTGAACTTTACCGCCTGGCTTATTACTTGGCCTAGCATCATTTCTCTTCCTTGTCTAATTAATCTCATGCGTAACCCTATTTCTTTTCCCTTTTATCCTTCCAAATATTTACCTTATTGAATATAAATAAACTATCAATTATAATTTTCTAAAAATTGGTTTTCATAGCTTTATTTATTCACCCAAAAAAAAATTTATTACACACTCTCAAGAGGATACAAGTGTTAATTCCATCATTTATGATATATGTCACAATTTATGATCTTTACTCATAACTAATTTCATCATTTGGTAGATTATAAATTTCACCAAAACATTATGAGACAAAAACCACAAAAGAAAACAAAAAGATAAATTAAAGAACATCTTTTAGTACTTGTTTGGTCTAAATTTTTTTCAGCTTATTTACCACTTAAAAATAAATACCAATAAAAAAAATTTTGAGAAGTTTTTTTTTTAAAATAACTTTTTTTAAAGAACAAAGATTAATAAAAATATTATTAAAAGCTTCAAAAAGGAACTTTCTCTTCTCTTCTTTTAAAAAGACATCAACTTTTCAGCATAATTTTTTTTTGTTTCAAAAATGTTCTCATCTGTCAAAAATAATCTCAATATTATCCGTTTTTATTTTTTATATGATTTATTATTATTTATAAACTTTATGTTATATAAAAATATTTTTATATTTTTAAAATTTTATTTTAAATAAATAAAAAAATAAATTTTTTTCATTATAAAAAAAAATCATAATTAATAGAAAGTTATTGATTAAATACTCTTTATAGTAATTTTAATGGAAATTAAAACTTATATAAATTGTGTTATCAAATAACTTATTTAATAAAAATAATTTATAAAAGTAAATTTATCAAATAAATTTAAATTAATTTTTAAAATTATTATTATTGATAAAAACTTTATAATAATTTTTTAGTAAAAAACAAATCATAAAAAAATATTTTTTTAAAAAAAAATGGAAACGGCCTGGCTAGAGTTGTCATTGCCTGATGGTCCGTCATCCGTCATGGATTTTAGGTTGGGCTTTAACCTGATTTGGCCCAAATTATTTTATTCACCTTATCTTTGTCCATCATGTGTTAGGTCTCTGCACTGCATCTATCCATTGCTTCACCACAAATTTACCGGCTATCCCGTTTAGTCATTCCAACAAAAGCATATCAGCTTTTAATAAAATTTTTAAACTTAGCAAATGCGTCAAGATTTACTAAAAATAATAAAATTTCAGGATTAAGAAATTATATTAAAATCATTGTTCGAAAATGGTTAAACTTTCATCAAGCTAATGTCTGAGATTTTTCTCAAGTGAGGTTATATATTGATGGATACAAAATTACCAATCTTTAAAAAATTTTAATTTTTGAAATGTTGATAAATATATTCAAGTGATTATATATGAGAGGTTTAGACGAGAAGGACGAAAAGTAATTTATATTTCATGTCCAAAAGTGTGTATACTCCAATCCAACTACCACTTCGTCTCAGTGGATATAGAATATTATAATCCCGCATTTCAATGAGTATCACACAAGGACTAAGATGGCATTGGCATGATGTTGGAGTCATCACTTCTGGATAGGGCAAGCTCGTATTGAAATGTTGCTATTAACATTATGATCTGCAACAGAGTCTATATACAATAGCCATAATAATCATATTCCTTTCCTCTTAGTTTTCGTCTTTAAGACTTCAACTACCATGCGCAGTACCTCTAGACACAAGCGCAGAGCTCATAACAGCAATTGACGCACTCAAAACAAGCGAGAGCAGTGCAGAGTTGTGTGAAAACGATTGAGCATTGGTTATTCATATATGAACAAGCCTGGATGAAGCACATGCAACAGCAGCGATCAAGCAGCGTGCTGCAACAGTTGGAGGCAGCCCTAACCAAAATCTCCGCACCTTCGGGTGACTTTGGTTCCTCGATTCCTGGAGGGATATTCTTAGCCGTTGCAGTCAAGTTACCAAAGCCGACCCCCACGCATCCCAGGGAAACAAGCTTCTGGCTATTCATATCTCCCTTTTTTGGCATTTTTATTTTGTTGAATATCTGGTTAGATTTAAAAGAAACTAAGTCAATGAGCATATTTTTACTCCTTAAACATATCACCATATAACAGACAGGAATTAGCAAGTTTATCATCTACTTCTATTCTTATATTCAGAAAGTTTCTTCAATTTTTGGAAAAACCACAGCCAAACTATCAAATTTTAATCTGATGTCGTTTAGAATGATTGATGGTAAGAGTGGGTCTCAACTTGCGAGATATAAAGGTAATGAGATCAATGTAATAAATTAAAGAGCTGGGGTTTATAGTAAAAACTACTACTATAAAACTGAATCCAAGGGGAATGCTGAAACTGTCTTCTATAATTCATGCAGAACCTTAGACAAATACGTACCTCCTGTACGCGAATTGATTCTTGCACTTTCTTTTCACTATCAGTCTGAAGCAAAATCAAGCAGGTATACTCGGATGGAAAACTAGTTTGAAGACTTATTTTGGCAACCTGCACCAGAAACAGCTCAAAAATAATTAGGTGTATGACCAAAAGTGTAAACCAGACTGCAAGAATGATTGGCAAATAAAGCTTAATAATTTCTGTAAGTTATATGTATTCATCAGGTGTGAATATGATCATAACAACAAAGTCCATCTCAGCCTCCTTGTTTGGCATTATGTTTGCAAGCCAAACAATAGTTTTACAACCCATCCACAATGTCAAACTTAGCCTAAATATGCCAGACAGGCCTGATTTGTTATATAAGTTCAACCGAAGTTTCAGGAAGTGGTATACCTTCTCTTCAAGCTCTTGACTCTCTGAAAACCAAGCATGACATGTAACAATATCAATTTGCCTCCTGGTAAGCATCTGCCGAGAAACATAACAATTAGAAAAAAATAGATGCATCACTACCCAACCTTCTATATCTGCATCTTAATGATGATGATCTATAGTTAAATAAGGCTTCAACTGGAAGAGTGTTCACATAGATACCCTCATATTTAGAAGGTACTTTCTAAAATGATATATATATATACTATTGTTGGGGGTCCGTCCTATTATTAGTAAACTAACACCATACTCCCTATGATAACAAAGCAAACCACAAGTTAAGTGCCTAGGGGGAAAACACGATGTGTTAAGTACAAAAAATTAACCAAGGTGGTCCAACATCAATTTACACAACACTGACTCTTATGGACAACAGCCCTCATAGTTGATAACAATTCTTTTACATGGATACAAAAAATATTTCAATCATATCATGTAGAAGGCCTATTAAGCATATAAGAAAATTTAAAGCAAAGTGCGCAAGTTGTATGCAGAGAGGTCATTTAACATGTAAGAGCTGGCACAGGCAAATAAAATAAAATTAAAGCAAACTTGTTAAATGCACAAAGAAGATGGTACTTTCTGCATTCAAAATATGTTTCTTTGGAACTGAAGTTAACCACTGCTTATGGTAAACAAAATAATCATAACAAGTTGTCAAATCAAGTATAAAATCTGTAAAGTTTTAACTGCAAGAGTAGAAAAGTTACTCTATCAAATGGCACGTCCTTTGCATTTTCCACTTTCAATTCAGTAACAAAAGTGCTCATATCTGCTAACATTCCAGCAACTTTAATATTGTCTGGAAAGTCTCCTTTGTATCTGCCTGACACCACCAAAGGACTTCCAAATGAAAGGTCTGGAATATAAGATGGAAACAACTGCGAGACCACGAAGAGAAAAAATGTTACTGACATGGCTAGAAGGATAATATATTTGGGCAAGCTGTATTAAGGACCTTGTAGTAAAATATTCAGTAACATTTCGATCGACTTACAACAGTTTATAAATATTTGATAAAAAGGATGAGCAGGGAAATTTACAAGCAGCTCTGATGTACCTCGAGAGAATCTAGATTTCCTGGCATGTCCATGGTTATATTGGCTAGAACGACTGAAGTAGCTGTTGTAAATAATCTCTCCATTCTCAATTCAATGTTATCTGGCCAATAAAAAGGTGAAATCAGATTGAATACTGCTAGAATCCCTTATTATACTTTTTTTTTTTTTGAAAGGCAGTGAATTTATTCGTAAAGTCTCACCACATTTTTCACAATAGTTTAGCATTGAGTTTCTTGATGTTTCCTTCAACTAGACTACAAATTCTTTCATACTAACCTGCATCGTAAGTGCAGTCATAATGGCCTCTCCCAATTTGAGCCAGCATTTGCAAGAAGTAATGATTACAATATAGACCTAGAAAAAGATTAAACACAAAAACCTTTTTAAGGTAATAATGCTACAAGAATGCAATAGGCAAACAAATATGGCCCAGATGTGTCAAACGGCAGAATAGGTTGACAAAATATGAAAGAGTTGCTGACTAATCATTGGTTGGTAGACACCAAAACGAGACCAGATAAGGGAAAACTACTAAGGCCGCCACCATAATATGTCTATTTGCAGCAGAGAAAGATATTTTACAGCAAAAGACCAAATTTATGGGCACTGTGAAGAGAAAGTGAAGACCATTTGTAGCACAAAGCAAGAAATAAAAAGTTCAGATTTTAGATTTTTCAGAAAGAAGGCATAGACTTGATCTTTGCCCAATGGCTGACAAAAGTCTAAATAGGGCATAGACTAAACAGGCTGAATGGAACTCCCGAGCACTTTGGTGTTAAGGCCCCCAGGAAGCAGATTGGCTACAAGGCAGCGTAAACTACTGGAGAAATGAATCATGTCTCCAGATCTCTGGATATCTAAAGGCATGACCACATGGCATATTCAATACTTGACACAGAGTGTTGTAGCACCTATTTATAGAAACGTAATTACAATGTAAAGAAGGACTCCATTTTTATGCCATGAGAAACCAAATCAACTGAAAACGACAATTGAGGCCAAAGCAGTATGAAAAAGATGAAAAATTTTTCCAAACAGCTAAAAACTCACCAATGCCAAAAGTACATATACGAGGAGAAACTGATCCTCCACTTGACAAATAACCTTTCATGACATTGCAAATCTCTCTTTCATCTTCAACAGACCCATCAGTTACAAGGAAAATAAGAGGAATTGAATCGCTTGCGTCAGACAACAACTTCATTGCCTACAATATAACCAAATTAGATGATAAAATCCTTCAATGAGTCATTAAATAGTAAAAGATGTATAGATTTGGCAGCTATAAGTATGAAGTATTAAGCATTAACTGATAGTATTGATCAGTCACCTATGAAATGCTGACAAATATTAGGTACCTGTTTAAGGGGCAGCATCATATTTGTACCACCATCTGCAGTTAAATTACTACTCAGCCACTGAGCAGCATTTAGGATTGATCCATGAGTAGCCAGCACCATTGTTGACGAGAATAAGTGAATCTCACTATTGAAAGCAATAATGTTAAAAGAATCTTGTGGATTGAGCTTGGAGAGCAATGCCAATAGTGCATTATTTACACTCTCAATTGCGCGTCCTTGCATGCTTTCACTTGTGTCAATGACAAAAACCACTTCTTTTCTGAATACCTATCAGAATCACTCCATGGTATCAGAATTGCCATGATATAAATAAAATGGAATCTTAAACAAGTATGTTAAGAACTCCAGGCTATGGCAACCTCAAAAGATTCAAATGGAATTAAAGCTACAGCAGGTTGGGCAGGTTTAACAACTTATGAGAAATTTTTATATTTTAATCCCCTTAACACTGACTGATAAGTTCTCTACTCATCTTAATTATCCTCTAAAGAAAATTGTCCACATTTCAGCATTGTTTGATTTTGTGAAGCCACCTTCCTTTTCTTGGGGAATGTGGAATTTCTCCTTATAATTAGCCAAAAGGAAATTGGCAAATCCTCCTTTGGAAGAGAAAAGAAAGTATAAAAGCCAATGCTTGAATTCAAAATCTATGTTAACTCAGTCTGAAACTGAATGCAACCTATCAGAGATGTATTTCCAATAAAAAACCACATCACTGGACCCATCTAAAAGGGATCAAAGTCCTAGAAAAGATGCTTTCAGGAACTGCTTAAAAAATAGAAAATGAAGAATTTTAAACCATTGATAAGTGATTATTTTTAACTAACCTTCCTCTTGTGGTTATTTCCAGGGTAAAGATAGAAGCAGAACATCTCCCTTTCATCAAAATCACGCAAGGGTGGAGATTGCAAGAGAACCCCACCAAAAATATCACTCGAAGAAACCTGTAAACAACAGCAGCAGTTAAGCAAGGATCACTTAGTTACGTATCACCATCACATGTTATATGACCTTCAAAAGTCCAAAATAACTTTTTCAACAGAATAGTAAATCAAAATACTATCAGTTAAAGGCCTTACGGTATAAGCAAAATTGAGGTCGGAAGTTGACCATGCTGGCACTTCTGCTTCGTATATGAAGCTTAGTTTACGAACCTCCCGAGTTAGCTCCTAGAGGAGTTATAACAGCATTACATTTCATTTATATTCTAGAAGCCAGATACTAACTTTTTTGAGACTGTCATACCTTTAGAGGATGGCTAGTACATTTGATCAAAAGTTCCGTTCCAATGCCAGAATTAACATTCAACTGAATCTTTTCTCGCTTAGGGATTTTCTTCCCAACCGGAATGACATATGGCGGAAAACTAAAAGGTACATTGAGGCAAAACTGACCATCCTGGTATGATAACTTTTGTGACCAACTGACTTTAATTGAAACATTAGACCCTCCGTCAACCTAACACGTATTAAGAACAAATTAATGTTGCGAAGAGAATTACTAATTAATAGTAATAGTAATAAATTAAGAAAAGTAGAGTAACTACTTGTGGGATTTTGAAAGTATATGTATGGGGTGTCAAGAAGCATCCATCTCCAGCTCTGGCTACTTTTTCCGTATCTTTTGAATCAGCTAATGTGACCCATTTCGAATTATAGGACCTCCCAGAGACGTCCACCTCAACACCTAGAATTGAACCCTGTTAGCCACATCATGTTTATCTTGAGAATCTATAAAAAGAAAAAGGTTACATCAAATCTTTAAATAACATGAACTCGTCATTATCTGATATATATAGGCACCGATGAATATACATGAATCTTCACTATTCATAACTTAGACATGAAAAGACTAAGGAACAGTAGAAAGACAATTGCATATCCTTCTTTCTAGACTATGCAATTCTTTGGGAAAGGGTGGGAGCGGGATTTTACATATAAACAAGATTAGATTTTTTAACTTTTGGAAACATTAAAATAACCATTTTTCCACTAACAGATTCTCCACTTAGATATTAAGCCAACCCAAAGAAAAGAAAATCACCCTATTTATTTAACTTTTATTATTCGTTCATCTGACCCCCACCATTTCACTTAACCACTAAAAACATCGTCTTTTTCACTACTCCATGTACTAATAAACTACAATTATTAAACTTTAAAAACAAAAAAGGTTTTGCTTTAGCTACCTGCTCCCCCATAGGAATAGCAATCCGGCAATCACATCTCCGACTAGCCATTATACAGTGCACGCGCCACGCGCCTCTAACAGTAACGAACGCAGTGTCCATACAACAGTCCACTTCCATGGAAACCTCGTGCATATGTAACGGAATTAACGCCGGCGGGTCGCACCGACCATGCACGTACGGCTGGTAGCTAGGGACGTCGGGGTTGTCCACCGCCGCTGGCTCGGGTACCACGGCGTATGCCATCACCCCCGTCGGAAGGTAACTCTCCGTCAACGACAACGACCTCGACATCACCGCTGGCGCAGGTGAAGCTCCCTTGCCGTAGTATAGTCGCTTTGATAACATGATGCCGCAAGTGACAGACGTCGAGAACTCGCCCGCCATGGTGGTTTTTTTTCCGACAAGTTAGGAGGATGTAGGGATTGAAAAGGAAAAAGCAATGAAAATGGAAAAAAAAAGAGAGTTGGAGAGTTCCTTAAATGACGATGGTGGTGAGTAACAGCTAAATTTTTGAAATGCAGTTAATAAGCAGTGACTCTTCGGAAATTAATGTTTTAAACTGGAAATAAACCAATTACACATCGCCACGTGCCGAAGTGCGTCTTCTTTATGAGGCGGGTGTTTCAGCAGATGACTACACGACGACGGATGCGCTTTTTCGGGTAGAAATCCTGTACATTAGGAAATTCTAGCTTCTACGAGAGCCAATAAGATGGTGGCACGTTAGGGACGGATTAATGCTGGCTTTTTTTTTCTAATTAACAATTGTTTTTTGTTTGCTAATGAAGTAGCTGATTGAACCGTCCATGGGATTCCAATGTGTTCTGTCAGGCATCACGTGAATTAATTAACTTTAATCACTTTGATTGACCATAGTTTATTAGTAGTCGCTTGGGGTTTACTTCATACTTTATTTGGGTTTGCTACTTGCATAGGCAGAAAATGATTGCTCCTGTGCTAAAATTAAATAACTGAAGTGTATCAAAACCATATGTTAAATTCTTTTTCTTTTCTACTTTATTACATCTAACAGTGCAAGACTTTGACCACGTACTTTTAAGTCTTTAATTTATGCAAAAAGCCATTGCGGCATGACTCTTCAATTTGTAGGCAACATGAGATTTGTTTTCCTTTGATTACGGGGAAAAGATATACTTACCAGTATTAAATTCCCAACTTGACAAGCATTTGCACGACACAATTACTTTTATAATTAACTTCTAAATAAGCCGGTGTTGATCCCATGAAAATTTGCATGGGACCATACACATACGATTATCCCACCTCCTTGAAAGATACTTGACTCCAGAGTTTAAGTGTATTGTGAATTTTACTGACATCAAAATGAAACAGGAAATTACCGCCATGCTTTCCGGCTACCTAATAAATACGAAGTGGCCTGTAATCAATCTGCTGCTCTCAGGACCACCACCGTCCTGATTGTGGTCCTATGTTGCCAAACATTTTGTTGAAAATAGGAAAGGTGAAAACGGTTTTAGCTAGACACGTCCCTTCATGTCAACCGTCGGATCATCATCAATAATGGAATATCTGAACTTTAGAGGACCCACATGATGTATAGAATAATTAATTGGCTTGAAGCTTGCCCCAACACAGTGATGCATGATTGATCAGTTTGACTAGACACATCATGCATGTATAACACTATAATAATCTTTTTGTTCCTTTATGGACCTAGGCTTTTAGGTTAAAGCCTCCTTTTCATGCTGTGGGTTGGCTTGATTCCAAAATTGACATGAGTGGATTAGTATGATGAAATGTGTACAATGTGATATTATTTATGGGCCACCAGTTGTTATATCAATTGTCAAAAGCGAAGTAAACATCACCACATTAACTTTGCAAATTGCAATGTGAAATGAGTTGGGTTACTTTATTTTGGTTTTGATTGTTAATTCGCCACGTTGTTAAGGAGAAGAAGAAATTTGGGTGTCTAAAATTGACTCTTTGTACCCACTTAAAATAATGAAGAGAAAGAGATAGAGAGAGAGAGGAAGAATAACTCTATTTTAATAAAGTTTAGCATGGTTTTCAATTTTAAATAATAGTTATTTATTCTTATAGCTCTCATTCCATATCAATACAAAAAATTAATCTCATGCTTAAAACAAAAGATAGGCACAAAGCAAGATTACATTCCACCTATGGACAACATAATTAATTATTTTGGTTGCTAACCCTGTCCCAAAGATAAAAATAAAAGAGCAAGTGGTAAATTAAAAGCATTCGTTTGGGGAAAATATATAATAAAAAAAATTTCCAAATGGCTTTCATGATGTAATTGCTTCATCATCACATTCACAAAATCCAATCCAGACCCACAGTATCTACGTTAGGACTCGCTCGCGTAGTCACATCTTCTCAAAGTATTGTCGGGGTTTCACATGGAGAAAGAGTGGGGCATACGTTTTAATTAGAGAGTTGAGCCCATATTTCTTTGTTCTTGGACCGCTATACCGGTGTCACTCTCTTTCGCTCTTCAGCCTCCCGACTCAAACTAAGACAGACACTACTTCGTTCACATTGACTTTGTTGGGGTAGCTTTTGTCTGCCTCAGCCTTGTGCCCCGGGTTCATTATGAATGGGAGGATTCACACAGACAGACAAGTATCTTGATTGAGGGTAACTTATTGATTAGACCAAAAATGAAATGGATGTCATAAATCAGACAGGCACATACATACTTGTGCATGTATGCAAAGAAGCCATTAAAATGATTGATATTCGTGGAGATGGATGCAAGTAGGGTTATCTTTTTGATCTAGTTTTTTTTCAATTTATTTATCTTTTAAAAGCAGAGATCAAATCAAATAAGATTTTAGGAAGTTTTTTTTTTAAAAAAATAACTTCATTTAAAAAAATTACAAATAAAAACTTTCTCTTCACTTCTTCGAAAAATAACCAGAACTCGTTCAAATGGAATTGACCCGCCATATCAAAAAAGATGGGATATGGCCCATGAGATAGTCCCCACCTTGTACCCTAAGCCCAAGTTTGGGCTTAAGAGACAAATCGTCCAACCCATGCTGACTAAGTTTTCAAAACTGGGTTTTTCTCTAACAGACTGAAAGGGCTTTACTAATTTAGTGGGGACGCCGGTCAAAATGACATGGCAAGTTATTATTTTTAATTATAACAACTAAAAACAATACTTTTGAATTATTTAAGGTTTTTTCAAATTGAATAGAATCAGTTTTAGAGTTTGTTGAATTGAATTAAATTGATTTTAGGGTTTGTTGAATTGAATTGATTTCAAGATTTGTTGAATCGGTTTTAGGGTTGATCAAACTAGATCGAATTAATTTTAAAGTTCACCAATTAAAATCAATTCAGCTTATGGATTTTTTAAAATTAATAAAAGAATTTGATTGAATGTAACAAAAAAAAAAAATTTTAAAATATTTTTAAATAATTTAAAATTTTTGTTAAAGTATTTTACCTTGATATAAGACTCATTATTTTGTCTTTTGGTCCTTCCAAAAAATACTACTAAAAAAAAAGCAAAAAAATGGTTTTGAATCTCATTGACAATATGTTGTGTGTTTCAATTATATTTGCTTCAAAAGTACATAATTAGGATATGGTTTCACGGGAGACAACCACTTTAACTTTATTGGAGTGTAATCCGTGCTATGCCTTCAGTACAAAATCATTTGATGTATGAATAAAAAATAAAATTAATTTGCATTAATAATAAATATAGAATTAAGATTTGATATACTGACACTGTACAATATGTAGGTTTCTACACATTGTCAGTTTACCAAATACTATTACCTCATTAATGAGGTAAAACTAAAAATTTTAAGGACTTAAACTTAAATATTAAAAAGTTTTTAATAATTAGTTCAATAAAACAAAAAAAATTCTTTTTTTCTTTCTCTAATTACCTCGCAATGTTCTTCAATTGTTCTATCCTAACTTGATTATCTTCTTCTCCCCTTTTCCTTCTTCTAGCATTAAAATTAAGTTTGCAAATTTGTTCAACTTTGAGAGATTTCAAGATAATTTTTACATTTGTAAGTGATTTTTACAATTGATTTAGGGTATAATATGATAGTCAATTATTTTCTTCTTTTTTGTCCTAACTTGATTATTTTCTTCTCTCCTTCTTCTTCTAGCATTAAAATTAAATGTGCAAAATTGTTGAACTTCAAGAGATTTTAAGATAATTTTACATTTTTAATTGATTTTTACAATTGATTTAAGGTTAAAATGTAATAAATCAATTTTTTGTCCAAATAAATAAATTAGAGTTTTATTTTTAATTTGATTTAGGGCTATAATGTGATGACCAATAAAAATGGTAAAAGTAATTAGCTAAGATCAATTTAATATCAAATTAAAATTCTAACAGAAGTTATGACAAAATTTTTCTAAAACTTTTCAACACTAATACTATCCATAGTCACAATTTAAGTAAGAATTCTTTACCACAATTAGTGGTCAAGTAGTCCAATTGCCCACTCCATTTGTTTCTAATATTAACCAACAAAAGAATTAGGCATTTTGGTTCAGCAATCCTTTTTTTTTCCTAGCCCTTTTTCTCAATAAAAAAAAAATGTCCACATCAAAATCTTTACTCTTTCTCTCTTTTAAAGTTTCAGCAACACACTTTTTTAAAAGTTCAATAAGATTTTAGTTTGCATGCCTATGGAACAATAGAAAAAAAAAAAAAAGAGATTTGGAAAAAAGTGAAATATTTTAATTTATAATTTTAATAGAAGGAAAGGGTGAACAAGACCGAGTTAGAGAGATAACAGAGATTTCTTTTTGTTTTTTATTTAATTAATTATTAATAACTTTTTAATATTTAAATTTAAGTCTTTAAAACTTTTTAATTTTACCTCATTAATGAGATGGCAACATTTGGTAAGTTGACAATGTATAGTTTCAGTGCATTAAATATAAATTTATAAAGATAATTGTCTAAAAACAAATAGTGAATCAATGTATCATTTACAAACATGCAATTATATTATAATTGGTAAAAATAAATGTTCAAAAATCAATAGATTTTTTCATGGTTATCTATCGAGTTAACTTGGAGACTACTCTCGTATTGAAACACATATCAAAATTCACAAATGATGCTATTTCTCTTATTAAAAATAAAGTAAGTTGAAAAGTTATATATATATATATATATATATATATAGATTAGTTACATGTAAAAAGCTTAAAGTGAAAATAAAAATAACAAATATAGTAAAAAAATTAGAGATTTGGTTTTAAAGATAAATAAGTTGAAAAAATAAAAAGAAACAAGAGAAGAAAAACAAAGAAAATGATGAAGAATGCGTCGAAGAGAAAAACTAAAACAAAAAACTAAAGAAGAAAAGGACAAACAATTCTAGAAAAATAAACCCAAAAAAGCCTTGTAAAATTAAAACAATATTAATCAATTGCATTCTTGAAAACTAATCTAAAAATCACATTATTTTGAAAAACGAAAAAATTCATGCATAAAAAAAAAAATAATATTTGATGTACTATACAATGTCACTTACCAAATGCTGCCACCTCATTAATGAGGTAAAATTAAAAAATTTAAATCCTTAAACTTAAATATTAAAAAGTTTTTAATAATTAGATAAATAAAAAACAAAAAAAAATTCTTTTTTTTTATCTCTTTAACTTCCTTACGACATTCTTTGATTGTTCTCTTATTTTTTATCCT